AGTATTGTAGAAGAAGCTCTTCCTTCATTTGATGCTGTGGACAAGAAGCAACAAGAGATTTAAAACGTTCATAGTATGTAGGAAAAGACTCACCTTCTTCTTGTTGAATTCCACTTATCCTTTTTCGTAGGAGAATGACTCGAGAGGTTGGAAAAAACTTCTCTAAGAAAGCCCGTTTCATGCTCTCCCAAGATGTGACTGTTCCGGGAGCTAATTCATATAACCAATCTTTCGCCTTTTCCATAAGAGAAAAGGGGAAAGCCTTCATCTTCAATATACTCCCGTCCACGTTTACCGGAGTCATGCTTGAGCAAACGACTTCAAACTCCTTCAAGTGCTTGTTTGGATCTTCCATGGACAGCCCATGGTACTTCGGAATGTGATGTAACAAGCTTGACTTCAATTCGAACTCGGCAGTTTTGTCCTGAGCCGCCCTAGGGTACTGGATACATAGAGGTGCGGCATTATCCAATCCCGAAGCGGAAAGCTCCTTGATCGTTCGGTTGTCCGCTGCCATGTCTTCCACTTCCTCTTCAACTTCAGAAACGGACTCGGAACTTGCACTTGATTCACTAGGTTCCGGGTTCTTCCTCTTTCGTCTCAACTCACGCTCAAAATCGTCGTCAAAGTCTAAAATATGTTCTTGAACCGGATTAGAACTCCGAGTCATAAACAAGTACCTAAAACAAGAAACAAAATAACATAAGAATCTGATCTAATAAGAAAAACGAAAATAACAATCCAAGGGATTAGCAAAGTTGCTAATCCCCGGCAACGGCGCCAAAATTTGATGTGAAAATTAACTAGCACTCAAATTAAACCCTCTTTTTATCAATTGTAGCAATATATGTAAGTAGGGATCGTTCTAGACCGGGGATTAGGAGGGATTGCAAAATCACTTGGAATTGACTCAAAAACGTAAAAACAAGTTTAAAACACTAAAATAGACTCAAAGAATGCAAAACTAAACTTTAAAACACCAAAACAAACCAAATGACTCAAAACAGCACCAAAACACTCAAAACTGCCTTAAAAACACAATCTGGGCAGTTTTGGACACTAAGCACCAAATTGGACGAATTTGGGTTTTAACTTGAATCAAAACACTTAAAAACACAAAGTAAAACACTTACTAACTAATTTGACACTTTAAAACAAAGGGGGATTGGTTTTGGACGAATTTAAAAACAAAACAAACTTTGTAAATTAGAACAGATTGTAAAAACGAATTTGATTTAAATGGGTGAATGGAAGGCTAGCTAAGGGGTTCATCTCCACACATGTTATACTTGCATACAAAACGATCTCCAATTGCTTTTCAATAAACCATGAATTCTCAATGCCCCAAGTTAATTAGGTCCGCTTAAATTAACCCTCAGATTTTCCTAACGTTATTGAATTGGATGATTGCATACGACAACCCAAACATTCCCCACAAGTCCCCTACATGATTGCATAATAGAGATACAAGCAAGAATCATTAAGTTCTATGAAAACCATAAGCATTGACGAAGCACTTGTTACTATGATTGCATGAAACTTATGCCAAGAATTTACTTAACGCGATTGAGATCATCAACCTTTACTACTTGTGAATATAATTCCATAACGATTAGGTGAAATTTCCTTATTTCCTAGCATTCAATTCATGCATGATAATTAAGTGTGCACTCTCAACCAACACACACAAATCAATGTAATTCACATAGATAAGTAAATTGAATTCACAACTTATGAAACGCAATTAGAAGTAATCAAATCATAACGCAAGCATAAACATGTATTTCGAATCCCCCCCTAGCCAAGGGGGGGTTTAGTTCCTCATATGCACAAAACAAAGAGAATTGAATTTAAACATCGAAATCAAAGGAAAAGAAACACCTAGAAATTCCAGCGACGCGAACTTGAATTGCATGAACTTCCGAGCTTCCTTCTCCTCCTCCTTGGTGCGGCAAGGGTCTAGGGACAGGTTTAGGACCTTAGGTGTATGGATGCATGGTTATGGAGGGATGTAGTAGTGTTTAGGGGAAGGGAATGGTGCGGCAAAGATGTGGAGAGAGTTTGGACGAATTTCTGGAGTGAATTGTGAATTGTGGTGAGTGATGATCTGATTTAGGGGTTAATAGGAGTATATATAGGCACTTAAAACCCTAGGGTAATCAGATATGGACTTGGATAACCCAAATCCACAAGGAAATAGGTCTAAACAATCAGATTTTGCAAGGGAAAAGGGGTCCTAGGTGCGGCAGGGATAGGATAAGGTGGATAAGGCTTCTAGAAAGCCTTGCAAGGCAAGGAAATCAGATTTCTAGAAGCTAGGGTGCGGCACCAATGTAGGGATTAGGGATAGGGCTTCTAGAAAGCCCCAAAACTGATAGGAATTGCATGAAACCACGGCAAGGATGTAAACTTTCTAGAAACTTCTCATTTGTGTCCTACAACACTTAGGAGTCCTTCTAGCATTAGGAAAACATGTCTCAATCCTCCCTTGACTTGGAATTCTTCTCCTTCTTCATCTTGGATTCCTTTTCCTTCTTGGACTTGGAAAACTTCTTTGTTGCTGAAACTTGATGCCATTTGGATTTAACTTTCCTACTTCAAGTAGGAAACCTTGTTTGAGTAGGAATCTTCATCTTCTAGGAATCCCAATTCAACTAGGAAACCCATTTTGACTAGGAATCCTAATTCAACTAGGATTCCATCTTCACTTAGGCGCTTTCCTACTTCGACTAGGAAACCTTGTTCAAGTAGGAAACATCATCTTCAAATCTTCAATTTCGTCCATCCTCTTGGCTCCAAGCATATGACATCCATTCCAAGCTCAACTTTGCTCCAAAAGGCTCCAAAATGCATCCTTTTGCATACTTTGCCCTTAGAACCTGAAAACACATAAAACTAGCTTAAAAGACTACTTTACTAAGTAAAAACACTATAAATGTACAAGAACAAGCTTAACTAAGGCGCATAAATATGCTCCTATCAAGAACATAAATGCATAAGAACTAACTAACAAAGGCGCATAAATATGCTCATATCAAATTCCCCCACACTTAGCTTTTGCTAGTCCTCGAGCAAAAAACAACAAAACGAAAACAAATAAACAAAACAACCTAAACCTTCCAACGTTTGCATCAGGGATTCCCAATGCACATGACATATTAAAAATCATCATTCCCATAGATTTTAGTCATCTTCACACTTAAGCACATACTTAATCATAGTCACCACGTACTAGTCCACATATAACCATTTAAAACATGATTTCGAATGTAGTAACATGCCTTAGAGAATTTGCTCAAGTCCTTACTAGATATGCACTCAATTTTCACACAGACTTTCTAACTCCACACCCTATACTAGTTATATGTTAGAAGATTGATGTAAATATGAAAACGAACGTTCACATATATGTATAACAAAGAAAGCATTTTCGGGAGTTAATAAGCATTTAAGATATGATCTCATGAATGGAATGCTACTACTTAGATGCGAGAACCAGGGATATCATATGCTCATACCAATTCCAAACTCCACATATTGAAACACATAACAATCAAGATAGAAGCAAAGGGTTGTAACAGGGCTAAGGTATTGGCTAACAAAGAAAGGTAAGGATAAACAAACATTCTTAAAGAATAATAAGCAAAGTAATGAAATTGACACTTAGAATTCACTTTTGCATGCAAAAATCGATTTTGAAACACAAGGGCAAGACTCATGCAACACTTAGGGTCAAATTCAATGTTTTGGACCCTTTCTTCAACAACCAACAACTTAGAGCTCATTTTATGCTCTTTCAACTCCTTTTCATACTTTTCACACTTTTCTCTTTTTTTTCTTCCTTTTTCTACGAATTTTCTTTCTTTTTTTTTTTTTTTTTTTTCTAACCTGTGCCCTTCTACTTCTTTTGGCACACAAACTTTCCCTTCCCCCACACTTAGTTTTCTCCACAACATTGATCAAAAGGAATTCCCTCTAAGTCATGCTTTATATCCTTTAAGAACAAGGGTATGGATAGTCCTAATCTAGGCTAGGTAAGGATAATGTGGCTCACAACAAAAATAGGCTAAATAAGGCTCAAAGGGGCTGATCCTACAAAAACAAATGCATGGGTTGAAGGCTTTTTGGCTCTGGTGGTAACTACTAAACAACTTCATCTTATTAGTTATGCTAATCAATTTTATGCTTTGAATGAAATCGGTATGAGTTCTAATATTTGGATCTATAATGATGACACGCCTTCTAAGTAGCAACCAAGCAAAGAATGATGAGATCATGCAACGACTTTAGAAAACAACAAATTCACCGATTATTGACTCTCCAAAGAATGTTTAGGCTCCAGTCTCACAGGGTTGTAGCGTTAGTTTGAGTTCCTTCCTTCAAGCATGTTACAAAAACTGATTTTTTTTTCTTTGTGATTACATGTGAAGTCATAAGTTATAACCACAACCAAGCATAAACCAAAGAGTAAATCAAACGTCCATCCATGTTTATAACTTTCTTTAACAGTCATGCAATTAAAAACCGAATCCTCATCATTGTGTTGGAAGGTACTCTAAGACACGAACAAACACACAAAAACGACTCTTTTTTGGATTTTTCAAAACAATTTTTCAAATTTTTATGGGATTTTCGGATTTTCATGTTAAAACATACTAAAATGCTTCAAAACACACTAAAAACACTTTAAAACAGTGAAAAACAACCTTTGAAATGTTAGGTGGTAAAATCCTACGAAATTTTCAATAAAATACTTTGTTTACCCCCCACACTTAAACCAAACATTGTCCTCAATGTTTCAAACATAGACTCACACAAAAACAAGCAAACAACACAACTAGCAAACATGACAAATATGGCAAAATAAAAGCAATAAAGAGTAGGGTTTAGGAACGCAAATCTGATTATGATGCCGGAGCTTCCTAGGTCCTCTTTATTTGCATGGGTTGCCTCCCAAGAAGCGCTTGCTTTAACGTCTTCCAGCCGGACGATGCCTCCACTCAAGCTTGAATAGTGCCCATGGCTTGGAGGGCTACTTCCTCCACGGTCTTCTCCTCAAAAGGTGTGAAATATGGCTTCAAACGATGTCCATTGACTTTGAACTCTTGTTGCGTCTTCAAACTTTGAATTTGAACTGCACCATGTGGAAAAATATTAGTAACAATAAAAGGACCAATCCACTTAGAACGCAACTTACCTGGAAACAACCGAAGGCGAGAATTGAAAAGTAACACTTTCTGCCCGATAGAGAACGTCTTGCTCTGAATCATCCTGTCATGGAATGCCTTCGTTTTCTCCTTGTAAATACGAGAGTTCTCGTACGCTTCATTCCTAACTTCCTCAAGCTCGTTCAATTGAAGTTTCCTATGAAGACCTGCGGCATCAATGTCCATATTAAAGGTTTTGATGGCCTAGTGTGTTTTATGCTCTAATTCAACCGGAAGATGGCATGGTTTCCCATAAATGAGCCGAAATGGGGACATTCCGATTGGTGTTTTGTAGGCCGTACGATACGCCCATAATGCATCATTTAAGCGCAAACTCCAATCTTTCCGGTTTGGCCCTACGGTCTTTTCCAAAATCTGCTTGATTTCTCTATTTGAAACCTCCGCTTGCCCACTTGTTTGCGGATGATAAGGTGTTGCCACCTTATGCGTGACACCATATTTCTTGAGTAGTGCTTCAATGGTGCGGTTGCAGAAATGGGAGCCCCCATCACTTATAAGTACCCGCGGCATTCCAAACCTTGCAAAAATGTTAGTCTTAACAAAATCTGCAACCACTTTAGAATCATTAGTACGGGTGGCTCTTGCTTCCACCCATTTCGAAACATAATCAACCGCAAGTAGAATATAAACAAAACCATGAGATGAAGGAAAAGGACCCATGAAATCTATGCCCCAAACATCAAAAATTTCAACATTAAATATGGGATTTTGCGGCATTTGGTCCTTTGGTCCTATATTTCCAGTTCGTTGACAATGGTCACATGCTATGCAAAAAGTACGAGCATCCCTAAAAATAGTAGGCCAATAAAAACCACATTCAAGTATTTTACGTGCAGTCCTTTGAGTGCCAAAGTGACCTCCACATGCATAAGTGTGACAAAAGTTTAAAATAGATTGAATTTCAGAGTCATGCACACACCTACGAATGATTTGATCAGAACAATATTTCCATAAATAAAGATCATCCCACACATAATTTCATGCATCATACTTAAGTTTATCACGTTGGTTTTTATTGAACGCACTTGGAATGACTTTAGATGCTAAATAATTAACTAGATCCGCATACCATGGCATACTAACCTCAATGGACATCAATTGTTCATCCGGGAATGTCTCTGGAATAGGCACGACGTCTTCTTCATGCACCAAACAGCTCAAGTGATCAGCCACAACGTTCTCACTTCCTTTCTTGTCTCGAATTTCGATATCGAACTCTTGGAGAAGAAGCATCCATCGAATAAGCCTTGGTTTCGCCTCCTTCTTCGTGAGCAAGTACTTCAACGATGCATGATCAGTGTAAATTATTACTTTAGTACCAAGTAAATAAGAACGAAACTTATCTAAAGCAAAAACAACAGTAAGAAGTTCTTTTTCCGTCGTAGAATAATTCAATTGAGCGTCGTTCAAGGTCCGAGAGGCATAATATATGACGTGTGGCTGTTTTTCCTTCCTTTGTCCCAAAACAGCGCCTAGAGCATAATCGGACGCATCGCACATAAGCTCGAAGGGAATGCTCCAATCTGGTGGCCGAATGATGGGGGCCGAAGTTAGCATCTCCTTGAGGTGTTTGAACGCCTTTTCACACTCCTCGTTGAATTCGAAGGACACATCCTTTTGGAGAAGTCGGCATAGGGGTGTGGAAATCTTTAAAAAATCCTTGATGAATCGCCTATAAAATCCTGCATGGCCCAGAAAAGAACGAACCTCTCTAACCGAAGTTGGAGAGGGTAAGTAGCGTACAAGATCTATTTTCGATTTATCAACCTCAATTTCCCTTTCAGAAACGATGTGCCCTAAAACTATGCCTTGTTTTACCATAAAGTGACACTTTTCCCAATTTAAAACAAGGTTCGTTTCTACGCATCGTTTTAAGATTAATGTGAGATTTTCCAAGCAACCATCAAACGAATCGCCAAAGACACTAAAATCATCCATGAATACCTCAATAATCTTCTCAATAAAATCGGAAAAGATACTTACCATGCATCTTTGGAACGTGGCCTGTGCATTGCATAATCCGAATGGCATGCGCCGGTAAGCAAAAGTACCAAATGGGCACGTGAAAGTGGTCTTTTCTTGATCGTCCGGAGCTATGACAATTTGATTGTATCCTGAATAACCATCAAGAAAACAATAAAAAGAATGACCGGCTAACCTTTCTAGCATTTGATCGATGAATGGTAGTGGGAAGTGGTCCTTCCTTGTGGTGTTGTTGAGCTTCCTATAGTCAATGCACACTCTCCAACCTGTTTGAATACGGGTTGGCACAAGCTCATCCTCGGCATTCCTCACCACAGTGACTCCGGACTTCTTTGGGACAACTTGAACCGGTGAGACCCAACGACTATCCGAAATTGGATTGATAGCTCTACTACAAGATCAGGAAGAGACTCAGTTACCACCGGAGGTGGTAATGATGAAGGATATAGTGAAGCTGGAGGTAGTGGTGGTGGATATGGAAACTATGTTGGACCACCTCCCAGATTTATGAACCCTTTCACTGGTGAGGCAAACTTCACGCATGCAACACAGGATGAGGACCATGGCAGTAGGCGGGCAGGACTAAGAATTGGTGCCATAGGGAAGGACTATACTTGTAGAGAAAGAGGCAAGGGGATTTTGTCAAGTCAAGAAGATGACTCGTTATCTATAACTTCGGATTCTGTTAGAGTGGGAAGTAGTAACTATGGTTATACTCATAACCAACCATTTCCCTACCCTTCATATCTCATTCATGTTGGGATGGAATTAAGCGACTCATGCAAACAATCCGAGACTCAATCTTCAAATGATTTTGCTTATGGACAAGGTCAACCAATCTCGGATCCATATGGATGGCATGTTAACAATTACATGCAAAACTATTTTGGGGATTTATCAATTGATAACTACTCTTCACAATGCACTCACTCTACACATAGAAATGATGAAGATAGTGAAAATTTTGAACCTCATAGGAACTCTATGTGGTACTAAGTCACTCATGTATCTTACCATGCAATGTATAAAGTGTAAATTAAACTTATTTCATTAATTACTACATATGTTCTACACTCACAATGTTTGCCAACTCGCTATATAATCAACTTGATAATGCTAAATCCATCATGCAATGCATTTCTGTCACAGCCCGTCCCGAGATTCTATTTATCAAGGTTGTGAAATGACGAAATTATCCTTGATGGGTGCTAAGGTATGTGTGCGACATAGTATTGAACAATGCATACTTCCCTACGTTTTGGAAAATTTGAATTAGATTAAAGGATATATGTATTTTTGTACGGTTAGGGACTTAAGAAAAATTGATGGTGATTGTTTTGGGATGGGCCACATACACGGGACACTTTCTCCTTCCCCGTGCCCTCTCTCTCTTTCCTCTTCTCAGTTCACTCTCTCCCTCTCGAAACTGTACGGACAAAGAACAAAACCCTCGAATCATCACGGATCAACGCCAATAAGGTGAGGTCCTTCATCTTTTCAACCTCTTGATTCGAATGGTGCAATTTTTAGAACTTAGAACCTTCGAAATCACGTGAAATCTAAACCCCATTTTGAAATCACTATTCATGCACACGTAAAATATTGTGTTTCAGGGAATTTCAAGCTCACAGTGAGCTTACGAAAGTCCTCACGAGCTTCGGGGTACGTCGTTGGTAGGATTTGGACGTCGGAGGACTAAGAACGGAACTTTTCAATTTTGGCCGGAACTTTGGAAACTTTTTTCCGGTGAATCCCCGGCGAGTTAGGGGTCGAGGCAGGTATGGATGTGTTCATCTTGTCAAGATCTTCATTTTGATATAAAAAGCGTTGAAAATAGTGAAGAAATGAGGAAGTTATGGCGATTTAAAAATTCCCCAGAAAACCAGCGACTTTTCCGTCGCCGGGGAAACCAGTCCAGCGACTGGAGGAAGAAGGTGACGCGCTTGGGGGAGCGTGGGTCCGTGACCCTCCCGGCGCGTGGGGGCACGTGCAACCTCAAAATTTTTTTCTAAAAATACCTCGATGTCCGTGACATCAAGTAGGTCACTGTGGTATATTCATATACCCAAATTAAGCATCGTATGAGAAGTTAGTACGAAATGTCGGTTATGTGCCTTAATTAACGTTTTTATAGTTGTTTCGCATATAGGTAATACCTATCCAGAGGACGAGCGCATCCAGGGATGTCACGGGGGTTACGACCCTTCGCCTTATCAGTGAGTGGGCAGTATTTTCTGTATTTACCTATATACTATTGATATTTTTCCTAGAAATTGAATTTAAATGAAAGTACGTTTAAAATGCCATGCATGCATATGATGAAATATATGAATTGATAATTGATGCATATATAAGTTGAAGATTAAAGATGAAGATGTACCTAAAACGGCTTTCAGAACCCGTTATGGACATTATGAGTTTTTGGTGATGCCATTTGGATTGACTAACGCACCTGCAGCTTTCATGAGGCTAATGAATGAGGTATTCCAGCAATATCTTGATAGATTTGTCATTGTTTTTATCGATGATATTCTGGTATACTTTAAGTCGAAAACAGATCATATTCGACATCTTAACTTGGTATTAAAGAAATTGAGGGAGCATCGGTTGTATGCCAAGTTCAGTAAATGTCAGTTTTGGTTGAATCAAGTGGCATTTTTGGGGCATGTAGTATCGGCAAAAGGAATTCAAGTAGATCCTCAAAAGATTGCAACAGTGGAAAATTGGGAACAACCACGAACCGTCACTGAGGTGCGGAGTTTTCTTGGTCTAGCAGGTTATTATCGACGGTTTGTTCAAGATTTTTCTATGATTGCGTTGCCACTAACGAAGTTAACCAGGAAGGATGTTAAGTTCGAGTGGGACGAGAATTGTGAGCAAAGTTTCCAGCAGCTGAAATATTGTCTCACTCATGCTCCAATATTGGTACTTCATGATGATAGCGGTAACTTTGAGATTTACAGTGATGCTTCTTTGAATGGTTTGGGATGTGTTTTGATGCAGCATAATAGAGTGATTGCCTATGCTTCTCGACAGTTGAAGATTCATGAAAGGAATTATCCTATTCACGATCTTGAGTTGGCAGCCATTGTTTTTGCCTTGAAGATTTGGAGGTATTATCTCTATGGTGAGAAGTGTAAGATCTTCACAGATCATAAGAGTCTCCAATATCTTTTTACTCAACATGATCTTAATCTTCGTCAGCGAAGGTGGATGAAGTTACTAAGTGATTATGACTGCACTATTCAGTATCATCTGGGTCGTGCAAATGTGGTAGCTGATGCACTGAGTAGGAAACCTCAAGGTCGACTCAATGCTTTGTATGCTTGCTGTGTTCCTCTTCTTGCAGATTTGAGAGCTACTGGAGTAAAGTTGGAGTTAGAAGATCGAAGAGAAGCTTTTCTTGCTAGTTTCCAAGTCAGGCCAGTTTTGGTTGATCGTGTACTTGAAGCTCAGATGGTTGATAAAGAAATTCAAGAAATGATTCAATTGAGAAATGAAGGGAAAAAGAAAGACCTCAGGATTCG